CCCTCCCTTTCTCCACACTAACACGCAGCCCCTCAGCCCAACCCTCGTTTAACAGAAGCTGCTGGTAAACTGGTTAATAACTGGTGTTATTAACATTTCCATCAATCAGAGTGTTTCTCCAGCTCACACTGGCCACCACCATGCTCAGAGGATGAAGAAACCAAAGATGTTGATGTCCCAAGCCCCAAGGGCGGGTGAGTGCCATCCATGATTTTCCAATGCGCAGTTTCGCTCCATTTTTTACTCCAAAGATTCAATGCCCCTTTGACGCCTAACCAAACTAGCAATTAGTTGTCAAGGCGCAGCTGAAATGTCAACAAAAACCAGTAGATTTAATCAACATTTCCATGGTAGCTGAAATTATGCTGCTTAATGGCTGAAATGGGTTGCAATAAAAGTGAGTTGACTGTGTATCCCTGAAAATTGATTCCTGGAAGAACAGTCAAACACAATTGCTTCAGGAAAGAACATTAAAAATAATAAACCATGGGTCTCTCAATTGCCTTAAAACATGGGCATAAAATCTAAATCTCTTTAGGAGTATACCAAATTTAGCCGTAGATTTAGCTGGAGAAAATAAATTTTAAAAGGGAGATTTTGTTTGGAATAAATCTTTGGAACAGCCTAGTTGATTGCCTTTTCATAAAGACTTCATCTTCTGGGGGAAAAACATGTTAACTAACTCTCCCTGGTGCTTTGGATATTTGAAGTTTTTTGGTGAAATATCTCATTGTTTTCATTCTACAGCCACTGACAACAGTGCTCTCTCACCAGGACAATGTATATAAAAAAGGAAAAAAAACTTGATTTGAAAATGGTGGGTTTGACCCATGAGCTCAAAAATGGAAACATCATTCTATATGTGACACTTAAATTGGACAAATATCTAAAAATATCCAACAAACATTTTAAAGACAAAATTATTTTATAAACAAGACTGTTGTTGATATTACCATAGGCACAAATTTTGCAACATCTCAAGAAGCATGTGCAGAACATGTTTACATCTTTTTTGAGGTGAAAAAAAGCTACTCATGTTCATTCTTAAGGATTTATTTGCATTTGGACAATTAAGCTTTCTATGTCTCAATACATTGTGGTTTTATACAAGATATTTGGGAAAAAATATATGGAAATTGGTATTCTTTTTGCAGTTCTGCTTCTGAATAATAGCATAGAAAATACTTCCATCATGCAAATTAATCTTGTGGAGAAATGACAGACTGATGTTAACTATCTTGCTGTCAAATTTTAAAGCAGTATCTCATTTTTCTTTAACTTTTGTAAGTACCTAAATCTATCAATGTGTTTTAAAAAGCAAAGTAAATGGGTAAAGAAACTTTATTAACTCTACATACATGTCCATTTTATGTTGATAATGTCTGGGGTTCAAAAGCTGAAGCTCTAGGAAAGGGTAACAATTTCATATTTTGTCATTGCATGATAAGAAAGGACAAGTGCAATAACAATGCAGCAGATATGAGGATTTTCACAGTTAGCAGCCTGCCTGTCACACCCCTCATTATCTGGCATGCAGATGGCTTTTACAATATTTTTCCCAAGTATCCTGCAGTACTGAAATGAATTCTATAAAATGATCTGCCATATGTTTATAAATACTATGTACATTGTGATTACACCTAGGCTGAAAGAGAGGGACATTTGCATATGGAAGCTGTCAGATATCTCACTAATGGGCAATATTATTTATACATGCACCTTACAATTAATTACAGATGAAGATTACTACTGGGAGAAGAATTAAAGAGATTTGGTTTAGCTCAGTCTGACAGGTTTCATATAGATGCACTGAACTGCCTAAACACAATTTGAAAAGTCAGGAAAGATTGTGTGGAACCTAATTTTGCTGCTGCAAATAAATACCCAGCCACTTATCTCTTTCATCCCAAATTGATGTTTTGGGAATAGGACAAACACTGTGACAGTTACTTTGAACCAAACATTGATATCAAAAGAGCAAAAATTATATAAATATTCCAGCAAATGCCAAGTCTAAGGGCTGCAATGACAAGAACTTTAGGAAATATTGGAAATAGCTGCCCATTCAGAGAATTGTTCTTACAGAGATGCTTAGTGAAAGATGTGTGTAGAGTGACCTGAGAAATGCACCATTTCTAATTAACAAATTAACTGTAAAGCCATTGTAGTACTGAGCAGCTCCCAAACACCCAGGGCAGGAGCAATGAGAGGAAGGGAACAGGCTGATGGGTGAGCTAGAGCCAAGTGCACAGAGTGGTCTGAGAGGGAGGGAGCAGGGAGATGCAGGGCAGGCAATTCTCTCTCACCCCCTGCCTTGGCTGCCCCATCTGCCAGGTGATCTCTCTGTAACTCACAGAATATCCTGCAGCTGAATTACCTGGTTTTGCCTGGCATGGAGAGTGGCTGCCAACCTGGCCAAGGCTTGATACACCTGTTGTTTCTTTCTATTTTAATATCATTGTTTGTCATTACTGTTGGATTAACTGCTGGCTCCTTCAAGAAATGTGCATAGTTAAATCTGTAATTTTTTCTACTCTGAAAACTTTCTTGTTCTTCTTTTAGGTAAATTTGCAAATCCAAGTTAGAAGTTTGCAAATCCTCATTAGCAACCTGTTTACACTTATATTTTATGTATTCTAAATGATTAAAAGAACTGTCCAAAACAGCAGTGGACCTTGGTCTCAGACCACAAAAAAGGTCATCCCCTTTTATTTTGCTGCTGCTTCAACCAGTGCTTAATTACCTTCAGCTAAGTACCTTTAAAACTGCTGAATATGAATTTGTTTTTATCTTTGGTTGTAGTTTTTCCCCTTCATGCTAACTCACAGAATTTTCTATTGCAGACAACCTTTGTTTTGATCTCTGCTTAGATAACTTTTTTTGTATAAAGGGCCTTTTTTCCTTTCAATCCACACAACATGATGGTGACTCTCCATGCAACCTCTTATTTTCTTTCACTGTGTGTGTTCTGTGGTAGCTGTTAACTCTGCACTGAGGGATGTCCCAGAATGAAAGTGCTGAATTACAAATGCACATGTGGCCATTCAGAAAATGTACCCTATGAATTTCAGATAGCATCTTATTTGACATTATGGCCTATTCAGCATGCACAATATTCACATAACAGTCCACAGTCATGTTGTGCTAAGAATCATACAATCACTTTGTTAGACTCACTTGCAGAAAGGCTGCTTTGCAGTCCAGCATGTAAGCCTGAAAGTAAAATCATTGTGCTGGAAATTTCTCGGTAGTTATAAATCCTCTAGATTTATAATTTGTATGTCATTTAAGAAACAAGACTCCTTTTGGTTGATGTATCTAGTCATGGAGTTATTGGAATGATTACAGCTGTGTTCATCTAATATGGAAATGCAAGTACAATGTAACCACCTTTCAGCAATAGATCAGGACATGTTTTGAAAACTGTTTCAGGGGAATTCATGCCAGAGATGTGTGCACTGAAAGTCGTTACAGCAACTACTGTAAAAAAACAAACAACAAAAAAGACATTCCCAGACAGTTTGTGGTCAGCACAAGAAGTTGGACATTTAGGAGAACCTATTCAAAGCTCTCAGTTACTCCCCTACACGTGCTCTGCAGAAACTTCCATGACATTTCAGATGAGAAAGGACAGTGACTCTATTCCGACTTCTAAGAAATGGTTAGGACAAAGATTTTACAGCCTATATGTACTAAAATGCATGGATACATGCTCTGCACTTGTAAGGATAAAAAAAAAAAAGGAAGAAGAACCCCCACTAACTTCATTAAAAAGTAGAACATCTCACTAATGCAGCATCACTTTTAGTTTTTTCTCTCTAATTCAGCAGCTACAGAAATTATCATGCCCTAAACTGACTCCTCTGAACATCAGACTTCTCACTGTGTGGAGTGATCTGACATTAAAATACTTTCATTGACTGGCTGCAGAGCTGAGACTGCAGCACTATTCCCCATGTATCTTTGTTTAGTGGCTCTGCACAACAGATGGAATTTTATGTCATGCAGCATTAGGCTACTGTTAAATTTTAATTTCAATTAATGGTCTTTATACTCTTTCTTTATGCACACCAGGGATACTTTAGGCATCCATTTCCCTTCTAATTAGCTTTTATTGCTGAATTCATTCTGAATCTCTGGAAGTCATTAGATTCTCTAGGATTCACAGCTGAATTTACTTACTCTCTAATAAAATTAATTAGTCCCTCAAAAAAAAAAAAAAGGAAAAAAAGGCTGAATTTGGTCTACTTTTATGCATATAGGTAAATAATAAAAGTCTGAAGTGTCTACCCATCCCTTTCTGCTAGAGTTTGCTTGTTAATACTGACTTTTATCCTGGTTATTGTCATCAGTGCTTCTCAGGTTAATGCTTTGCCTACTTCACTTAAAATGAAAGCTGTTTCCAGAGATGTGTCTCCTGATTTATGGCACAACATTACTTGTACACCACACTGGGTCAAAGAGCAGGTTTGTATTGTGAGTTTCCCTAGAATATTGTGCTCACTGTAAAACTGAGCCTAAGGCACAGGTAATTTTCACAAGCACTGCTTGAGAAACTCAGATGATCTACTCTGAAAATTTGTAATAAGTATAAAAACTTTTATTGGTCTGTTGGAAAAAAGAGAAACAACCAAGGTAATGCAAGAAAGAAAAGAGTCAATATCACATCAGTGCGACTGCTTTCTGTATTTTTAACATTTGGACGGTGGTTTATAAGAAGTCTTGGCTGGCTCAGTGGCACAACAACATTAAGCTCTAATTTATCACCGTGCTATAACTCTGAAAATTGAATAATATACCTTCAGGGGAGAGGCAGTGAAAGATCTCTTATTGTATATATTACAATGGAATATTTATGACACTAGTTAAGACTCTGTGACAGCTTTTGTGGTAACCTCACATTTAGAGAAGCATAAATTTTATGTGGTTATTATATGGCCACAACAGAAGTAATTAGCAAAATATTGCAATATTTATAAGACTCAGAATTGAACTTAGCACATAAATTTCCTTTATTTATGCTTTTTATAAAATCAACACTCATACTGCATTACATTTGGAACCTGGTCATGAACATGCTATAGCCATTTCTATCTGTTCAGGTGTGTAAATAAAAAGGTACATTTATACAAGAAAAACCATGTGTGACATCTATATGGTTCAATGCAGTGGTGACACTTCTTCTCATCACTTCCTACAGGCAAGTGCATCTCATGGAATAATTCATTTTATTCAACTCCATTGTTTGGAAGACCTGGCTTCACAGAGGTGCCACCCTCACAGACAACAGATATTTCTATAGCAGACAAGCAGCAAAAGATGTGAGAGTTCACAGCCAAGGGTCCAAACACTGCTCTGAAACAAACATGTAACACAAAGTAAATACTGTCGCTGGAAGCATAAGAGCTGTGGCAGCAAGAGCAGTGGTTATTCCTTGTCCAGCTTGGCATTTCCATACTTGGGATATCCTCACCAAACTGGCTCCATATTTCCTGTTTAGTAGAAGAGAGAAAGGAAAACAACTGACTAGAAAAGTTACTTCAGAATTGCAGACTAATTTAACGTTTCCCTGGTTTGCTCCTGTAGTAATAGCTGATATTTTTCCATTCTAATTTTTTTTCCAATTCCACATACTACACCTAAGAGCAGTAATACTTGGCTTTATTTTAGTATATTCCATCTCAACTCTTCACTCTTTGGCAAGTGCATGCTGTTACAAAGCCCAAGCCTCTTCCATCTCTGCAGCAGGCACAAGTGGCATGAACAAAAGAACAAAGCTGGCTGGTGGGCTCATGAAAAAGTGCATAGAAGCAAAGACAGCTCAAAAATGTACCAAGCACGCAGAGACATGCAAGAGGAATGCTTTACACTGTGTCATAGCTCAGGTGCTCAAGGTAAATCTACAATCCTCTACCTACCATATAGATTGTTGCTCCTTAGCTTGCAGGGACAAAGGGACCACAGGAAACCTCTGGAGAGGGGTCAGTTGTTCACAGTGGCTCCAAAAGGACATGGAATATTTCAGAGGATTTTTTCCCAATTGGAATAAGTTCCCATCAGATAAAAGGTATCTTGTTCAGGCATTGCCTCAGCAAGGTGCCATCAGTCTCACCCTCATAAACACAAACTAGATAAATAGTGAAAAAGATGGAAAAAAACACTTCAAAATTCACTTGATCATGATCTATTTTTTTCTCATGTATAATAATGTAACTCAACGTAAAAAGTGAGTAAAGTAGAAGTTTAGAGAATTAGGTCACTCAAGAAAATTAAAAGGCCAAATCTGCTTTGCCCATGTGGAAGAATTGGTAAAGACGAAAGCAAGAATTATTCCAAATAGTATTTTCTTAGGCTTCCTCATTATCATTTCCAGGCAGTGCTTTTTCACAAGATTAAAACAAAAATAAGTAACTTTATTTATGGAAAATATTTAAATATTCATGGTCATGAAGCATGGCACAACCTCATTTCATGTTATTCAGACTCATAAAATGTGAAATAAAATTGTATTGTCCCCCAATTCAACCTTTTTTAAAAGGAAATGCTGACTAAAACAAAAGAATCATGCAAAATAGATGATCAGAATAAAAGAATGATCTGAAGTATAGATGTTAACTGAAAAGCTTTCATTTTTACTCAAGAGCTATTATGTGTTTTCATCTAGATTTTTTGGGTTTGTGATATTTTTTGCATAAATAAGTTTAAACAATGAGTAATACAGATTTATCTATGAATTAGTTAGTCTGGAATTTTAAATAGTCTCAAGAATTCAAGCTGGTCAAAAATGAAATAATAAAATCTAAGCCACCTGCTCCAATTAACATACCTAATTTCTTTTCTGCTTTATGTAGCTATTTTTCCCATGAGCCCATTCCACATGCAAAATTTGGGACACCAGTGTACTTCCTTGGGTTTATGTTTTCAATATTATTTGGATTAACAAATCTTCAATTTTCACTTAATCCTCATTCAAGTAAATTTATTTTTTAACTTGTAAAGATAATTTATATTTACTGATTAGTAAAGTTTGGGTTAGGGGTTTTTTTTGTCTTAAAAAAACAAAAAAGCTGATGCACACCCCTGATGTGCAATTTTTGCTTTAAAGCATTGAGTAAAGAGTTTGCTGAAATTTTGGAGCACTTCTCTTTGAAGTATCATGTGTGGCATTATCTCTTTGAAATATTCCAAGTTGTTTTTGCCAGTCTGGGCTCTGCAGCCACTTCAGCACAGACACCCAGGAGCTGTGTCTGGGAGTCCTTGCCACCCTTCCAAGGGTAGCTTATTTCCTTCTGCAGCTTTTCTCTGGGATCATTTTATTGTGTCACTGACTAACAGGCTCCCTTGGATTGTCATCCTTTATTGCCTATTCCTGACAGCTGCAAAAATACTGGCTTCCTTTTTTAATCATGAAATGAATTGTTGCAGGAATGGGGAATGCTACAGTTTCCTCCATATATCGTTCTTCAATCAGAAAATTGTAATTTCTCAGATGCATTAGCACAATATACTAGGAAACAGCTGCATAATTTAACTTAATTGTTAAGCAATACCTCATTATAGCTAGACAGTAAATTCAGCAGTTCACATTTTTCGTGTGCCTCTCCTCTTTTCAGAGCTCACATCATGTTCTCTTTTTCATCTGCCTTTTTTCTCCCAAAGGTGCTGGAAAAGAACCATATTTGCAATAAAAATGAATTTAATCTTCTTTAAGAACCAGTTTAAATTCATGGTAGATGCTTAAGATTCAAATTGATAGGAAAGTAAGCCTTTCTCAATAACCCTGGAAAGTCTGATAGCAGATACTCATCTATTTTTTTTTAAACAATAAAAACCTCCATCCAAAATCCAAGAGCAAGTAATAATTTTGTTTTGAAATACATCTTAACTTCTAAAGGCCTATGATAGCAATAAATATTGTTCAGCAGAGTAGAGGTGGAGAGCTTCAAAAAGAATACAATTCAATGCCAGTGCTGAGTACCTAATATACAACTTGTTTTTAGATACTACAAGACACAAAACCATTTGCATTCCCCACTAGTTCATCTAAGAAAATGTAATTTATGGTATGAAATTGATAGTGTCAGCCAACATTGCCCTATCTCTTCTCCAGACATTCAGTAAATCTAGTTTCTTTCTCTTTCTTTCTCTATTTCTTTCTCCCTTTGCTTTCCTCCTGAGCCAGTTAATTTTAAATCTTCTTTACTTCTAAGGTTTTTTTTTCTTAATTTAGTACTTTCTGAGTCATTTTGGACTTATTTGTTCAAATTACTTTTGAGTTCAATGGCCAGACTTGGCTATTTGCATAGTGTATTCACATTATATGTCCATGTGCTGATTCCCAACTCCCATGCAAGTTAATAATTTACTGGAATATCTAGGTTAACAAAGGAAAAAATTCCATTCAGTTTCTGTATTAGATATATTTTATGTTTTAAGTAACTGCTCCGAAGACACCTCAGTTTCATTGCTGCCATTGTCTAACCACATGATTAAGGGGTCCTCTAAAATATTTCTATTTATACTGCATCATTAAATAACAACTGAAGCTGCCAGTAACTGCTGCTGGTTTCTGCCTCTTTGGCCCAGCAGCTTTCCTGCATTCTGGATATGAACTGATACTGCCTACCTCAATGAGTGACAGAGCTTGTTCTGGTTTTAGTGGTTGTAAATCCCCTTCCTATGTTCCTATCCAATACAATGTGGGAGAAGGAAAAAGTTTGGAAAAAAGTTTCCCCATCACAAAGGTGACACTGATCCTCTCACCTCCTGGAACAGATCATCTCCAATGCTGAAAATAGAGGACACAGCATCTTCATTTGTAAGTCTACTTCCAGCCACATAAAAAGCAGACAGAACTAATTTTGAGTAAGGTCAGAACAGTAAACATTAAGAACAACCACTCATTCCCTGCTGTAAGTTAGGACTATTATAGAGAAACACTCAAGAGAGAGCAGGAAAACTTCAATGACCTTTCTTCTTGCCAGTTCTATGTACTATGAGCAATCAGTAATTAAAGGTGTTCTATATCTGGAGCCAAACATTTAAAAAAAATTAAACCTTAAGCCTTTGTGGGAAGGTTTTGAGGATTTGTTTCTTTATTATTTGGCTTTGTTCCCTTTTTTGTTCACAGAAATTAGAATAAAATCACTTGGATACAAGAAACAGTAACATCAGGAATCTGAAAGTGTTTAGTCAGACCATGTAATTACTGATACCAATCAATCATCCCTATAGCTTCTCATCTGTGTAATTCCCCACCCACTGACAATCAACTAGTTTCTAATAATCCTTTCATTAATAAAAAAAAAAATAAAGAAAGGTTTTTTGCATATTTATAACCCTTTCACAATTAAATGTTGGGTTTCATGTTTTTTGTTTGTTTTTTTTTTACTATTACTGCACATCTTAATACAGCCTGACTTAATTAGATCAATTGAAGAAGTTCACAGTGCTGTAGACTGGTTTTCCTGCTAAGCAATATCTCCCAATTTCACTGCTATCTATCCAGTTTGTTTCCCACCTTGTGGATTAATAACCAATCCTTGCTCCTTCTCCCTCATGAGGAAACAAAAAGATCCTGATCAGTACACCTGGACATTTTATAAATAGGATGTGGAAGTTCAGAATCTGACAAAACATGGTGAAAATACCTAGCTGTGCATTAGTATGCAATTATACAATGAAATTTGCCTGTAGTTAGACTAAAGGGGATGCCTAATTGGCTTCCTAACATGGTCATCTAATTAGAGTAAGCAGAACTCCAGTCATTATATTTAGTTCTTAGGAGAGCCAGTTTTTATTGAGAATTACAGAAGAACCATAGAGAAACAGGCTTACCAGTGTTTCCATGAGGGAAGGAATATTTCGCTTCCAAATTAGGCAAAGAAAGGAAAAGATCATTATAAATATGTGGTGATATTTAAGTGTATGGTTTACACCAACACTATTTTCTTGCCTCTTCAAAAAAAGCACTGTTTTATTTAGAACAGGTATTAAAATAAGTGCAAACCTGGGAGAAGTGAACACCTGCTATGAAATATGCTACATTGCCAAGATACAAAAAAACCAACAAAACTACACTGATTGACTTTAAAATATCCATAGCTATAGAATTAATGTTTGCAATGTAGATTTAAGCTGTGTGTTACAAGCAGCAGCTGCCCTCAGTGGTAGGAACTAAGGAAAGTGCTCCCTGTGGCAGAAGCAGTTTCTTGCGCTCTGCTTCCAACCTGCTGGAACACACACCATGGATGTGGGGATTTCCTCCAAGTGCAGGGTTATATACTGCATATTCTACCATTCCATCATACATATATCCTAATCACAGACTCCTCACGTGTTTGATGTAGTGGACCATGTCGTGGACAATTTTTGTTTGCCTGTTCCAAGCAGCAAGGTGGTTTTGACCAAGTCAGAACCCTATTAAGAGTATTTCTCAGTGTGGTTCAGTATGTCTGAACATTATCTAGTAAATCTGATTATGAGTTCACTGGTCCTAGTTAAAATTCAAGAGTAGCTTAGATGAAGAAATTACACTTTTTAACCAGGTCTGCTGATGAAAAGATCAGAAAAGGACAGTAACTTCGCAAATTGAAAAATGCTAAAGAGTGACAGCTATTTGTTCTTTAAATCAAATCTCCCTGGAAAAGTTTGTCAATCTGCTGTTGTAAGAATATTTACAAAATGTTCTAATAAAATGTGTGGGTTTTTTTTGCAACACAGAAAAAAAATTAAGTCCTTCTATGGTCAGTGGAGCAGCTATGAAAACAACATAAAACAAAAAATAAATCCGAAATGCAAAACCTAAAAACAATTACCCAAACAAGTGTAACTTGCCTAATGTGCTAAGGTAAACAATAATTTATTGGCATATTTTGCAGTTCCCTGATAGCCAACCATACTTATCCACAAGGACCTGAGTCTCTGTTCTGCATGAATTAACCTTCATTGTTATCTCTCAAAAGAGTTTTTGAATGGCAAACACTGTAACAATGATTGAGATTAAAATGTTAGCCTGAAGTCAGATACCTGATACAATGGATGAATCTCTAATTCACTTTTAAATTGCTTAAATAATGTTACATTCAAAATTTTCTGCATGAATGAACATTAATTCAGCTAAGAAAGAAATGTTGCCATGTTTAATTCAATAGTTTTAAAAATTTAGTTATTAAAAGATTCTAGTTTAGCATTTCCTTTGGTATTCTGTTCATTGCAATTCATTTTAAGATGCATCACTAGGCCATGAGAAAGAGATTAAACAAAGCTCTAAAATGCTGCCCAAACTGAATATTTGTTTTTATGACATAGCTTTTTTACACAGACAACTATGAGAAAAATAAATTGCATCATTTGATAGCAGATTAACACAATCATGGCCTCCATTCCTACAGCAGTTCACTGATGGGTAGGCAACAACTAATAAAGGAGGTTCTTGAAGCCTAGTGGGTTTGATTCTCTTTGGCATTTAGACAGATGTTGTTTCTTAAAAACCTCTAGAAGGTTGACCTTTGATAAGAAAGTGCTGATCAAAAGTCTTCTAAATCACAATCTGAAAGTGTCAATTCTGATCTGTGATTCTTAAAAATTCACTTATTTTGAAACTAGAGAATTTCTAAAATGCCCTAAAGTTCTTAAAATATTCTGTTTAATGAACTGTCAAGTGAATGGTTCAATGAAATAAAATAAATCAGCATTAATCTGACTTAATAGGATATTTATTAAGGGAAAAATACAGGAAAATCCACACACTATGGGTAGCAACTTACCACTGTTACAACAGAACTTCTAGTTTTATTTCTCAGACAAATTCTTAAAAGTAAAGCATTCACATTCTGTAAGAGATTGTAAAATTGGCAGCAGTAGATCCTTCACTATAAATCAGGGAACCCTATACCATTATTTCTTCTATCATTCCATAATCTTCACATTCATTAGAACAGGTAACAGAGCAGCTCTCCCCATCCCTGCTGCAGCCTCACAAGTCTCAAAGGGGATCCAGCAGCGACGCAGACTGAGTGGAGTGTTAGGGAATAGGCTATCCTAAAATGGTTTGGGTAGGAAGGAGGAAAACAATTCCAATAAAGTTCAAAAATTACTTCCTCAGGTTCAAATTAAGATATGCAATTTTAATCATTAATGTATCCTTGCTGCTTTGTCAGTCTGGATTCGTGATCACAGCACTGTCAGGACAGCTCTCAGCTGAGCTTTAGGAATCTTGTACCAAACACAGGTTTTGAAGTTGGGAAATTACAAAGAGCATTTGGCAAGAAGGCTGCCACAGGCCAGGTCCCAGATCTGCTTTTGTCCCAGACACCTTTTTGGCAAAAAGGAATACATTTATCAATCAGCACCAGGAAATTACCATTTGAACAGAGTATTTCAGACCATTCAGAGCACTGGGTCATTTCCTTTCTGGACAGAGCTTTTTGAGTTCCACCTGTTAAAAGAACACTTCCATTTGGTGTTAGCTAGCACTCAGCATCCGTTGTTCTTATTTAATTCTCATAATTTTTTTGACCATGACGCAAAAAGAAATTTGTGAGGAGACAAAGGTTCATTGGGGCCTTCAGCTCACACTTGTTTCCCCCGGCTGCTTCCAATTGCTGCCTGTCTATTGGGTCACACTGAGACCACAATCCCTCTGCTGCT